GAATAACAACATCTGATCTATCAAATCAACCCGCCGCCGCGACTTGAATAGTATAACATACTAAGTTCTTTTATCCATACCAAATCCCGTTTTTGATTCCTAGCCCAATCAACCCAAAACTCCTTTATTTATCAGCCGTTTATTTGTTTTTTCTATAAACAACCTACCTTGCGTCTTCCTTAGACAATCATTAAAGAATCATCAGATTGCCCTTCCGTGCCGATTAATTGCATACTTAGAAACCTAAACAATAAAAGCGAAATGGAAAAAATAGAAAGGAAAGGATGAATTGATGTATTTATTGGAGATTGGATCTGTCGGGACTGGCGGGGCTCGAACCCGCAGCTTCCGCCTTGACAGGGCGGTGCTCTAACCAATTGAACTACAATCCCAGGGAACTAACGGATCTATCAGAAAATTTAATTCTTTTTTATCTTCGTATGGGATAAAGGGGGGGTTATACCATCTCACAGTCGGTTGGCGAATTGTTGGGCCGAGCTGGATTTGAACCAGCGTAGACATATTGCCAACGAATTTACAGTCCGTCCCCATTAACCACTCGGGCATCGACCCAGGAAGAATCCTTTTTATGCTTATTGCTAATTCATGATCAACTTCCTTTCGTAGTACCCTACCCCCAGGGGAATTCGAATCCCCGCTGCCTCCTTGAAAGAGAGGTGTCCTAAACCACTAGACGATGGGGGCCCGCCTGCCCAACTCCCCTCATACTATGATCATAGTATGATCAGTTTTTTGAAATTGTCAATATATATAGAATGCTTGGATCCGAGGGATCTTTCCGTTTTTCAAACTTGTATAGAATTTTTTGATTCGTCATTCCTATCCATAAATTGTTCATTAGAATCGACATTCTTTAATATAACTCTACTAAAATAAATCTAGAAAGCGGAATCCAGAAGTTATGGAAAATTTTCTCGAAGACTTTAGTTTAAGGGGACAAGTAGAATTTCTTCATTACATGATTCGCTGAAATATCTTGAAATTTCGTTTATGTCGAATTGGTACGTGTACATGTATGTTATGTATCAATCAAGTGAATTTTGCTTTGTTTGATAGGGATCATCCCAATATACAATAAAAAGAAATAAATAAATTAGGGATGGTCTTGAAACAATTCTTTTTACCTTAGACTTGCTGGGTAAATTATTTTAAAATCAGCCACTAACTGGCTATGACTTTACTGCATATAATTATGATAATATATATGATAATATATATCCGCAGGTAGATAAAATCTACCTAGTGACTTGTTCGGGAATTCAATCAAAAAAGCCCTTTTAACTCAGCGGTAGAGTAATGCCATGGTAAGGCGTAAGTCATCGGTTCAAATCCGATAAGGGGCTTTTCCTTTTTTTCATAAAAGCCCAGCCCTAACATTCAGAAAATAGAGATATTTTGTTTTTAGAATTTTTGAAATACAAAAGCCGTATAATACGTTATGCTGAATTACTGAGTTCGAATAGAATCAGAAAATGGAAGATTTGTTCGGTAAATTTTGATTATTATTCATAATCATAAGTCGCCTCTTGAATCACCAAAGATCCTTATTACCAACCAANAAGAGAGTCTCCGGCCTGACACTGCACAAATATGGCCGGGGTATATATTATCATATATGTGTGGATATATTGTGTATCACGAAGAAAAAATGCGGATATAGTCGAATGGTAAAATTTCTCTTTGCCAAGGAGAAGGTGCGGGTTCGATTCCCGCTATCCGCCCAAGATAAAGTAATATTTGGAATAGGCTAAAGGATTGGGTATAGTTGGTCGTGATAGTGTAGTCAGTCTATCCCCTCTTTTTTTCCCTTTCCTACCCCCCAGGTAGGTAATTAAGAATACCTTATTTCCTAGCAGTCTAATTTCTTATCAGACTAAGGGCATAGAAAACTAATAGGAAGTGTGAAAAAAAGGGAATTCGGGGGGAAGACTTCACTATATATGATATGAATAGATAGGATGAAATCCTCTTTCATTCTCAAAAAAATCTTTTTTCTAATGATTTTTTATAATGATAAAGGGTGGTTTTTTCTATGTCTTTGTGTCGAACAAAAAAAAGATTAGTTCTCGCCTAGAAAGAATTTTTTCGTAAAATCTCATCTAATAACTACCCAATAACAAGTACTAAATTAAAGTTCTATTTCAACGCGGAAGGAAAAAGACAACCTACGGGAGGGGTCGAAAGATTTGTGATACTTCACCTGAGTTGAGTCAGAGAAAGTACAGGATATAGAAAGAATATATCAACCCTAAGGATCCATTGGTTGAATTGTAGATCCAAGACAAGAATAGAAACGTTTGCATCTGAAATTTTTATTTCAAATCTTCTATATCTAAAGATCTAAAGATATAGTTATTTATCCAAAATCTCTACAATAGAATCTTTGTCTTCGGCTCAATCCTTTTAGTAAAAGATTGGGCCGGGTTTAATTGCAATTCAATTAAGAGAAGGGAGAGTAATTAATTCTTTTCTTACTTATCCAAAGTATCTACTGCCTTAAACTCAAATTTGATCTCTTTCCATACTTCACAAGCGGCAGCTAGTTCAGGACTCCACTTGCTAGCCTCACGGATAATAACATTACCCTCAGCAGCAAGATCACGTCCTTCATTACGAGCTTGTACACATGCTTCTAGAGCGACTCGGTTAGCTACGGCACCTGGCGCATTACCCCAAGGGTGTCCTAAAGTTCCTCCGCCGAACTGTAGTACGGAATCATCCCCAAAGATCTCGGTCAGAGCGGGCATATGCCAAACGTGAATACCCCCGGAAGCCACAGGAATAACACCTGGTAGAGAGACCCAATCTTGAGTGAAATAAATACCGCGACTTCGATCTTTTTCAATAAAATCATCACGCAGTAAATCAACAAAGCCCAAAGTGATGTCTCTTTCTCCTTCAAGTTTACCTACTACAGTACCGGAGTGAATATGATCTCCACCAGACATACGTAACGCTTTAGCTAGTACACGGAAGTGTATACCATGGTTCTTCTGTCTATCAATAACTGCATGCATTGCGCGGTGAATGTGAAGAAGTAGTCCATTATCTCGGCAATAATGAGCCAAGCTAGTATTTGCAGTGAATCCTCCTGTTAAGTAGTCATGCATTATGATAGGAACTCCTAATTCTCTAGCAAATACAGCTCTTTTGATCATTTCTTCGCATGTACCCGCAGTAGCATTCAAGTAATGCCCTTTGATTTCGCCTGTTTCAGCCTGTGCTTTATAAATTGCTTCGGCACAAAACAAGAAACGATCTCTCCAACGCATAAATGGCTGGGAGTTCACGTTCTCATCATCTTTGGTAAAATCAAGTCCACCGCGAAGACATTCATAACATGCTCGGCCATAGTTTTTAGCGGATAACCCCAATTTAGGTTTAATAGTACATCCCAACAGAGGACGACCGTACTTGTTCAATTTATCTCTCTCACTTTGGATCCCATGAGGCGGGCCTTGGAAAGTTTTAATATAAGCAGGAGGGATTCGCAGATCTTCCAGACGTAGAGCACGCAAGGCTTTGAATCCAAATACATTTNGTAACAGAACCTTCTTCAAAAAGGTCTAAGGGGTAAGCTACATAACAGATATATTGATCTGTTTCTCCAGGAACGGGCTCGATGTGGTAGCATCGTCCTTTGTAACGATCAAGGCTGGTAAGTCCATCGGTCCACACAGTTGTCCATGTACCAGTAGAAGATTCGGCAGCTACTGCAGCCCCCGCCTCTTCGGGCGGAACTCCAGGTTGAGGAGTTACTCGGAATGCTGCCAAGATATCAGTATCTTTGGTCTCGTATTCAGGAGTATAATAAGTCAATTTGTACTCTTTAACACCCGCTTTGAATCCAACAAAAGTTTGAGTCTCTGTTTGTGGTGACATAAATCCCTCCCTACAACTCATGAATTAAGAATTCTGACAACAACAAGGTCTACTCGACACGAATGAATTAGGCCTTAATGGAAACCCGTCACAGGAATCTTTCACCAACTTTCCAACTAATATTATCCACGAATCAGAATGTTTGATTATTAGATCGTGGTATTTGATTTACCAAACACATCATTATTGTATACCCTTTCGTATACATAGCGCAACCCTATTTGTCCTTTTTGCCTTTTTTTAGAATCGAAATACCTAACCTAATTAATAAGAAATTCCCGCGTGACGGTGGTAT